GAAGGTGTTGGTTGAAAGTTGTTGAGGGTGTGGGTTCAACACCCACCCCTACCGCTTTTGGGTTTATTTTCTTACAATTCTCTATCCTTCTCTTAAAACCTTTTTTTTACAAAACATTTTCAAAACCTTTAATTTTTCTAAAAAACCTAATTAATTTTTAGATTTTCACTTAATTAATCTTAATTAATTTTTAGGTTTTCACTAATTATCTTTTTTTGTTAATTAAAATCAACTTAGGGTTTTAGGTTTTTTTTTCCCGTTAATTAATTAAAATCAATTAGTTTTTAGGTTAATCATCCAACCTTTTTTCTATCAGAAAATCAGAAAATAATTTCTTTTCTCGTTTCTTTTTATTTTACAAGTTCACATATTTTATTACTTTCGCGTTTTTTTCCAATTGTGTATTTGCTTACAGTTTGTAATAGTTTAATTAGGATTTTTACTATTTCCCCCCGTTTTTACTATTTTGTACCCCCACTCCCGTAGCCTTGTAATAGCATAGAATTTTATTTCCCGCACTTTACTTCTTTTCATTATTGCTATATTATTTTGCTAGTAATTAAGGTTTGTATGGCAAGATTTAAAAACAATTGTAGAAAACCCTAATTTCAAGACTAAAATAACTGAACATGAACCACTCTTCACACTTGCACCTCTAGGGTAACCTCACTTGTTGCCTCAGAAAACAGTCATGTCCCTCGAACATGGGGACGCTTTAGCAAAGACCCTCGATACAAAGACCGTAGTCCCTCGATGACCCTTTAGATGCTGCCTTCGATAAATGATCTAGTCCCTTACGATAAATGCTAAAGTGCCTATACGAGTTGCCTTTATGATTGTACGATGAACCACGTCTGTCCTTTCACATCCAACGAGAGGGCTTCCTACTAACTAATGGTAGGACATCACTATCTAAAGGAGGAGGAAAATAACGCGAAAGACTTTGAGTAAGGGTAGAATACTGTTAATCGCTTGGTCACACTTTTCAAAACAAACATTTCACACAAAACATTTTTCTAAAATATCTTCGAAAACAAACATTTTGTACGCATTCTTAACCGATACAAGAATCATTACAAAGTTGCCTTACTAATGACATTTTCAAATTATTCTCAAAACACATTCACAAAGCATTTTCAAAAAAACAAAGTGAGCTAGCGATTAAGAGCCCGTAGATAACTACGGATGAAAATGGTGCTAACACCTTCCCTTTCATAGTCTACCCCCGAACTCAAATTCTCAAGTTCTTTCTTGTTCTTTTCATCATTTTTTTATTGGATAAAAGAAAAGTCGGTGGCGACTCTTGCTATCCACAACATTTGCAATAAAACGCAAAACTAAAAGTCCGTTCTCCCACTGTATTACATTCCCGTATATAATAGTAACATTATTTATAAAAATATTTGAATCAACAATTCATTCTTTACCGTATTTGTAATTGTACGTTCTATTAATATAGATAGTAAAAATCAAACAGATAATTTAAAATTCTATTTATTTTAGAGATCTAATCAATTTATAAAAAGATCAAACATAATAAAATCAATTATACACAATTACAATTTTTTTATTCTTTTAAATAGAAACTAAAGATGCACTTATCAAATTTTTAGAGTATACATATTTTATAAAATATTAGATATTTATAAATGCAACAAAATTAAATATAATTAAAATTAATTATACAATATAATTAAATATAATTTAATATCAACAACAAAATAGTAGTTTGATAAGTGATAATTGATTGTAAAATATATATATATTATTAGTGACAAATATTGAATGACAAATATTTGTATCATGTATTCTTTTATATTATTAGTGAAATAACTATTTTACATTAATAACTATTTAATTAACATAATAACTCCATTAATATTTTAAATACAAATAAAAAATAGTAATTGAAAATAATGGAATATACATCTCACATGATATGTTTTTTTTAATATATCACAATGTAAACCAGATGCTTTCAATTTCAGATTGTATCTAAAACTCGACATCAAATTTTGAAAATATTCTTAACACACACGCACTTAAATTTTCTTCAATAATATTATTTAAAAAGTAAAAAAGTATATTGGTTAAAATTTAAGAGATACGCTTTTAGAAATCTTTTTAAATGCATAAGCACCCAAATTTTATTACCAAACATATATTTTGAGTTTTGGTCTTTATTTTTAGAAGTGTGTTTCAAAATGATTTTGAGATGTGAAAATATCTTTTTGACAAATAAGATATATGAAAATTATACTAACTGAGAAATTAATATATTATATATTATATACCTCTATTTTTATGTTAAATAATACAATTGAAAAAAAAAATCAAAAAAAAACATTTATTATTGTTCTGAGGTAAATTTTTTTAGGTCTCACATCTTTAGCATTGAACATATAATTTATTCTTGACATTTTGTTCATCTTAATTTCTTATTGGTTTTGGGTGATTGGTTGCTTCTACTATAAAATTTGCCTTTATTTCATTTGCACTTTCCCTTCAACAATGTCAAAAGAATAACAAAGTGAATTAAATTTAGTTTTTTTTGTTTGTAAATAAAACCAGAAAGACCAAAACGTATCTACAATATTATTTATCAAACCAAAATATTATTTCTTACTATCATAATCATGTGTGCAATCCTAGTAAAACATGACAATAATGTTGTTAATCAAAAATACCATTAACCAAAAATATTATTTAGAAAATCGAACTAAAAAGATATAAATGTTTACTATTTTATACCATCATTAAAGTAAACAGAAAATAAACTACTACCAGTTTAACAATACTTCATGATCTAAAAAAAAATGAGCAACATATAACAAAATATATGATCGATAGAAACTAAAGAATCTCCATATGAAACAAAATCACATACTGTTGATATTGGGAAAATCTAAGAAATACAAATCAGAAAAACTCACATGTTTGTCAACGACAATCATGTCGAAGTATTCTTTTGTGCTTCATCTAAGGTGAATTTTAACATCAGTTCTCTATAATTTCTTTTTGTTATTGATGTCATTTATAGATGTATTAACCCGGACGTATTGTATTATTATATTATAAATGAGAAAAAAAGAAGAGGAGAGAAAAGATAAAAACTATATCTAAAAATTTGTTATTGCCAAAACTATTACAATAACATTGTCAAGACTATCAATATCCAAACTCAAACTTACAATCCTAAGTCTAATTATAACTCAAGTCTAATTTTAACTTCGACACAACAATTAAATGATGTATTCGAATACAACTGACTATTACTATTTCGATGAACTATTTCAACAGAGTTGAATACTAACTTTTCCCAAAAACATCTAATTACAACTTCTACCACTCCTATCTCTATTTTCTTCACAATTCTATTACAATATTCTATTTACTTTTAAAAATAAATTTTAAATCCAACACAATTCAAACTACTCTTCTTACAATTCTCTTATTTTTGTATAAACATTTTTGGCCAAAAAACCAAATTGTATTTGAAATTGTCCATCATCAATAAAAGGTTTATTTGCCAAACTAGTAATATTTGCAACGAATTAAATAATAATGGCACAAGTGTATTAAAGCATTTTTAGAAGTAAGAGATCCAGATGGAGAGAAGAACTTGGTTAGAAAAATTAAAAAAACATTCATACCACCTGATATTATCAGATAAACTCACAGATGTAATATATTGAAGACATTATGGACCAACCCAATTTATCATAGCAATCCAAAATCCAACAACTCAATTCAACTTTTCTATTATATCTATATTTAACTTGTCATTATTTTTCAAACTTCAAATAAACTTAGATGGTTCGAGCCATGCTACATTTTTTCTTAACTTGCCCAAAAATAAACAAACCTAACTATTCAACCTATAACTAACTCATAGCACTCAAATAAGATCAAACTTAAATAAACTGATAAAACTTTCAGTTTATTAAAATCCTCCTCCTCTACTCGGAGTCAACTATCAATCTATTAAATTATAGAGTTAAATATATTAAATTATAAAATTAAATATATTTTTATCTATAAATTATTGAATTTTATTTTTCATTCCTATAAAAAAATTAATATATTTTTTAATTTTTATTAAATTATTATACACGTAATTTTAGTCTATATTATTAAATTGATATATTTTTAAATAAATAATTTATATATTAAAACGTTGTAAAAAAATTTCAAAAGAAAAAAATTCAAAATTTAATTTTTAAATCGAGATTTTCATTATTTTTATCACAATCTTTTGAAATTTATAAATTTCATATTTAATTCTTCTTATTTTAAAAAACTCTAAAATTTGATAAATAAATGTTTTATAATATTTTAAATATTTGTAAAAAAAAATATTCAAAATTTGAAAATAATTAAATAATTTTCAAAATTTTAAAATAACATAAACTAAAATTGTATAAATAAAAATTCTATAAGAGACTAAAATATGTCATTTTTATAATAATGACTAAAAATAAAATTTAAAATATTTATAAGAATTAAAAAAGATATTTAATCCTAAATTATAATATTGATTATAAATCATATTTAGGAACATAGTTTACTTAACTTAAACTCATTAATCACTTAAATCAAACCATACCATGTAGTTTGTTGTTGCTATTACAAACCATTGAAGAGATATCTTTAAAGAGAGAAAAAATACAAATAATATATTGCAAAGAGATTATTATACCGCAATTTCCGCCAACCGACATGTGATATGTTAATAAAGTCTCAATATTTTGTGGTCCATATCTCATATTCAACTCAAGATCAAATCAACAAAATCATACGCAAAGAGATAAGAATAAAACCACATAAAATTTTATTATTTTATTAAAAGTTACATATGATTATTGAAGAGAAATCCTAAATAAAACAAATACATAAAATTACAACAACAAAACAACCTCATCATAGACAAGAATCTAACTCTAAGTATTATTGTTTGTAACAAAGGTAAGAGTTTGATAATATTGAAAACATGATGAAATCTACCTTGTGTTGTTGCATAGCAAACAATTCAACATCCTAGACCAAGCTATCCTTAAACGAGGATAGATTCTGTTGCTATGTGTTGTAGATTCTCTCATAACATATTCCATGGTTTCTACAAAGAGATTCAAGCTTCTGATTGGTGGAATATAAAGAGTCAAAGGAACAACAGAGAAAGCAACCGTGAAGAACAGTTGAAGCATTTTTGTGTGATAGTATTAAGTAGAAATGAATTTGAATTCTTTATCATAAATTGAATCCTTTATGATAAAAGGGTGTTTGGGTTTGGATAGATAGAGTCAAGGAAATGATAGAGCTTTAGAAAGTTGAGGAAAGAGAAAGAAGGTTTTTGTGTGATATAAAGGGCATTTAAGAGATACAAATGGTTGCGACTTGAGAGAAAACAAATTTATCGAGGAGTAAGTGTTCTAGAAATTTGAAGAAGAAATATAAAAATGCTTCTTTTTTTTTTTTTTATCGAGAAATGTTTTTCTTAAAAAAATGATTTTTTTGAATATTTGATTTTTTTTTACATTTTATTTATTTATTAAGGCCTATTTCCTTATAAAAAAAATAAATTTTTTAAAATTGTTTTTTAAAACTTTTTTATTTTTTTTATTTTTTTCAAATTAAAAAATAATTTTAATATTCTATAACAAAAATATATATTATTAAAAATAAAAATATAATTGAAATCTTAAGTTTTTCAAAAACAGTATTCTAAAATTGATTTTTATGAAAAATTATTTAAATAATTTTAAAATTAAGTAATTTTTTAAAATTTTGATATTTACATTTTTTTTATTAATATGATAAAATATTTAAAATAATAGTTAAAAATTAATTATTTAAACTAAATCTACTACCTATCTAAGATTGGAAGAAGCTTAGGCACTTTCTGATAAAAAAAAATTTCACTGTATTATACCCTTAATAGTAATTCACTAAAATAAATATATACCGTGGCACTCGCTTTTTTTCAAATTTCTTTGTATCATACTATTTTCGGGGTAAAAATAAAGGATTGTGTAATACATTTTTCATTTTTCACTACTTTTTTTCTTATGTTTCCATCTCTCTCATTTCACACTCCATTTCTCTCTCCGAAATTAACTCTCTCTCTCTCTCTCTCTCTCTCTCTCTCTCTCTCTCTCTCTCTCTCATCTCTTATCGATTTCTTCCTCTTCATCAAACTCAACTCAATTACAATCATGTAAGATACTGATTCTATTAATCTTGTCCTTGTGTTTCTCTGATAAACATTATATGTTGTTTTATTTTCGTTTATCATACAGTCGTTATTGTCGTGTTGTTGGAACAAGTATTAATCAGCAGAGAAAGAGGTATGCTTCCTTAGTCTTTGATTTTTGCGGTTGATTTCATTTTTTGTTGTTTGATCATTATATATTTTGCTTTGTACAGGTACTTGATGTTAGGGTTGCGATAGAAGGAAGCAAGATTGCGATTTTGGGATATGGCACTAAGGTTCAGCAAAGCATGAAAGCAGCAGAAATGCTTAGGGCAGTAGTGGTTAATGTGACAGTTGCTTATGCTAGGGTTTGTGATAGTTTCTTTTGCATTTTCATTATTGTTTTTGTTATCTGGATCCGGTTTAGAGTTTGGGAAAAGTGTTTATTTAAATAAATGCATATTTTTTTATCATTATGTTTATATATACTTAAACCTGAATAGGTTGATATTCAAAATATTGACAGCCAAAAGCACGTGAAATTATTTGATTTTACATAGTTCACTATGTTTCCTGGCTTTTTTGATGGTTTAGAGAAGTAGGATTGGAAGGGTTCACAGCTGCTGCAAGAAATCGTCACCTATGTGAGGTTGCTTTCATTTTTTTCAATTTACTTTTATGTTCATTGTAGATAAAATTTTGTACCTAATCCATGTTTTTGTGTGTGTGTGTGTGTATATATATATATATATATATATATATATATATATATATATATATATATATATATATATATATATATATATTATATATATATATATATATATATATATATATATATATATATATATATATATATATGAAATTACATTTTTTTCCTTCGGTAGGATCTTACGAGTCGTGCTAACAATCCGAGTTTTACGATCTTATTAATTCTCTATTTTTAGAATTGGCATTAATTTTAGTAAAATATATATAGCAGCAATATGTTAGATAGGATGTGTTAACTTGCTAAACAGGAACATATTGAGCAAGAAGTCATATCTTATGAAGGAACATGTTGAGTTGAAATGTTTCAACACCTGGAGCAACATGTCAGATAAGATGTCTTATGCAGGGTCATACGACATCACGCCTGAGCTGAGCTGGATTAGTGAATTCAGTTATGATTTAACAGTTGCAAAATATTCTAGGAAGATTATACAATCTTATCTAGCACTGATTTAAAGTTTTGGAAGAATCAAGTCAGAATATTGAAGAACATGCAGTTTCTAAATATGGAGATATATTAGAAAACTAATAATTGAAGACCTTATTTGTAGAAGAAGTTTTTGCTGATTTGTAACAACTAATTTGTTGTGATTAGAAGCCCAAATCCAGTTGGGAATAAGTTATAAATAGGATGCTTGTAACCTAGAAAAGGCATGGGTCCAATATGTAGAAGTTTAAGGCTTTGTCTTTGTACCAGCCGAGAATTAGAAAGATGTAATCATTAGGACAGAGTCTATACCACTCTCTAGGAGAGTTGGTTGTGTATTCCACTCGATACGTGAGTTGGATTGTGTTCCTTGAGTTGCAAGGTTCTGTTATCACTCTTAAGCTTTTAAGTACATAGTTGATTATTGTTCTTGGAGGAATCTTTTAAATAACTCTAAGTTGTGTTCTTAGTTAGGAGTAAAGTTGTAAATGGTGGAGTTTAGCTTTAGGTCTTGACTGGGTATTGTCATAGAAGTGTGTCTTCCATTTTGCTGTCATGGAAGTATGTCTTCCTGTTTGTTGTCCAATCGCTGTTTGTGATTGATAAGGGATTGATGAGGGACTCATATCTAGGTGAGTCTTAGATAGAAGTATAGCACAATTAATAATTAAGTGGGTAGATCGTAAGCTGGTATGTTTGTTGTAGGGTCTATAAATTGATACTATCATAGTGGACTTGTATCTGGCTTGGTATGCTCCCAGAGTATGAGAGTTACTCCGAACTGGGTTAACAATTTGTGTGTTTTTTTTATGTTTTTCAGTATTGTTTTAATATGTATACCCTGCCATATTGTTTATGTCAGATCAGATGTCCCAACATGTCATAGGACATCTGAAATTCTGACCTACCAGAATTTCAATTGGTATCAGAGCCAACATTTTGTTCTGTTTCTGGGTTAGATCCTGGGATGATACTTTCTGGCCATGGGTAAGGAATGAGGTATCTACTAAAAATTTGTTTGAACTTGGACAATTCATATTATTGTTTGAATGGTCCCTTGAAGTGGAGGATGGACTATTCGTGACAGGATGTGTAACGCCCGTTAATTTAATTAATTATTTAAATTATTTTCAAATTATTTGTTGAGTTGTATAAGAGGTTGCTTTATGTTGCTAAGTTGTTATTTAGTTGATTAATTAAGTTGATTAATAATATTAATAAACAATATTAGAAAGTATAAGAATATTAGTAGAATATTAGTTGGACCTATTTTGGTGGTTAGAAGTAGTAATTGATGGGGTGTGTAAGTTGAGCCCATTACAAATAATAATATTATTATTAGGTTTAGCTATAATAATAAGGAATTAGGTTAATTAGAAAGGTTAAGAAAAGTCTTAGAGCAGTACGTGATAAGTTACAGAGAAGAGGAATAGGAAAAGAGGCAAAGCCAGGACAATCACAGAGTTAAAGAGAAACCTTCAATCCAAGGTAAGGGTGGGGTTCTGACTCTATAATGGGAATTATAATGAATAGTATGTATGAATTTGGGTTGGTGTAATTGTTGTACGTGTAATTGTGTTTCTGTATTCCTGAATGATGTTTGAATTTCGTCTGCAAAATTGTTGATAATAACTGTCCGTGTTAGATTTTATCTATAATTGTTGTTAAGTTGCTATGTCGATGTAATATTGCGTTGTATCATGTTGCCGTGAAAATACTGTTAATCGAAGGAGGATTTGGAGAATTTTGTGTTTGAATCAGTAAGTCTGTGAAGAAGCTGCGTGAGAAACACTTTGTGCCGAGGGGCACAAGTGTTGTGTCGGGCGGCACAAAGTGAAGGAACGTGATGAGGGGCACACGAGCATGCCGACCGGCATGGTATGGAGAGGAGTGTGCCGAGTGGCACAACTCCATGGCAAGCGGCATGGGTTTTTTTAGTTTGTGTCGAGGGGCACAGTTGGGTGACAAGGGGCACACCCAAAACACATGTTTTCTGTTTTCCCTTGTTTGCTCTGTTTCCTGTGTGTCTGTTACCTTATTCTATTAATTGGTTAATAGCAGAGATTAAGTACACAAAGTGTAGAACTGGCTTATATAGCAGAGTAATGAAATAGATGATTGGATCGGATTATATAGTTAGTAAGTATTTAGCAAGATGACCTTAACAGTAGTAGTAGTAGTAGTAGTAGTAGTAGTAGTAGTAGTAGTAGTAGTAGTAGTAGTAGTAGTAGTAGTAGTAGTAGTAGTAGTAGTAGTAGTAGTAGTAGTAGTAGTAGTAGTAGTAGTAGTAGTAGTAGTAGTAGTAGTAGTAGTAGTAGTAGTAGTAGTAGTAGTAGTAGTAGTAGTAGTAGTAGTAGTAGTAGTAGTAGTAGTAGTAGTAGTAGTAGTAGTAGTAGTAGTAGTAGTAGTAGTAGTAGTAGTAGTAGTAGTAGTAGTAGTAGTAGTAGTAGTAGTAGTATAGTAGTAGTAGTAGTAGTAGTAGTAGTAGTAGTAGTAGTAGTAGTAGTAGTAGTAGTAGTAGTAGTAGTAGTAGTAGTAGTAGTAGTAGTAGTAGTAGTAGTAGTAGTAGTAGTAGTAGTAGTAGTAGTAGTAGTAGTAGTAGTAGTAGTAGTAGTAGTAGTAGTAGTAGTAGTAGTAGTAGTAGTAGTAGTAGTAGTAGTAGTAGTAGTAGTAGTAGTAGTAGTAGTAGTAGTAGTAGTAGTAGTAGTAGTAGTAGTAGTAGTAGTAGTAGTAGTAGTAGTAGTAGTAGTAGTAGTAGTAGTAGTAGTAGTAGTAGTAGTAGTAGTAGTAGTAGTAGTAGTAGTAGTAGTAGTAGT